TTTTGCCAGGTATTTCTCGTTCCTTAAACAAATAAACAGATATAAGTTAAAAATCTACTGTTTGTTTTTAAGCGGGGTATGTTAATCGGTTACAGGTGGACCCCAAACTCGGTGTCAACGCTCGCCAGCAGGGCCCTGGTCAGCCCCGGGCGGCGCGCCGCAGCAGCTCCGAGGGGCAGGCAGAGGCACAGCTCTGTTCGACCATAATTAACTTTTGGTATCTCCAAAGTGGACTTTCGGGTAGTTCACAAAGCCTTTGATTCGTCACCGTGTGCAGGGGCCCGCGGCCCCCTTCGGAGAGGGGGGGCAGCAGCGGTGCTCCAGGGGAAGGCCGCAGCCCCCAGCCTTTGGCATCTCCTCAAGTTCAAGGAGCCTCATCAAAACGAGTGTCCAGAGGTGCATATGGGACTTTGTACTGGGCTGCCCCACGGCAGGCCTGCAACAGCCAGCTGGCCCCTCCCAAGGCTGCTGCACGGGCCACCTGCCTGGACACACAGGAAAACAAAATTATCTGGTATTTAATGAGCAGTGACAAGGTCAGATGCACGCCAGCGGGTGCCACGGCAGAGGTGAAGTTGCCATCCATGCAATAATAAGAGGACGTTTCTCCCCCCGCCACTCCTATGTCCATCACAGTCAGCCTCATCCCTGGCAGCGTTTGCCGGGAGCCTCTGGCAGCCTGCAGACCAGCGGCACCAGCCCAAAGGAAAACGGGGGACTTCTAGGTCTAGCAGGTCCACCTTTGTCACTACAGTGATTTTTGCACAGCGCAAGCTCTGCTCTTCTTGGCCAGCTAAATCGGCCCTAGGCAGCACTTCACCAAAGAAACCTGCCCTTTGGCTTTGCCCCCCCCCTCCCCTACATCGGTCTCCAGATGCACGACGGATTTCAAGGGACAGAAACATTCATTACAGAGGCCTGGAAGGTGAGGAAGATGGAGCTGGGTTTCCCTAGATAGCTGGGACAGCGCGGTTTTGCTTTAAGCAGGATGACCTGCCGTCTGCCCCCTCTTTAACAATTTTCTCGTGCTCAGACCGTGCGAGGTTTCATGCCCAGCTCTGCAGGGACACACAGACAAGCCACCACCATACACACGTGCGGACACACGATGTTTGTAGCTGCACACGTACAGCGGCAAGTGCACACATACTCATGTCCATCACCTAGCTGAGCGTTAGCAAATTGGAGTGAGATGAAAGGCTGGGGTTTGAGCCCGGAGCCGCCCTTGCTGGCTGTGCAGAGCTTCCAAGCTGTCACCCGTGTTTGTGGAAATCGCTGAGGGCGAGAGGACCGTGACTGCCGAAGTAAACAGTGACTGCGATACCCCAAGTCCTCCGCCCCCCGCACCCGCACCGTGCGCTTGGGTAGAAAGTGGTTATGTTAGTGACTTGCTCCAGGCTTGCTGGGACGTTAGAGATGTCCGGTTCTTTTCTCCCCTCTTTTCCTGGTATGTGCAACTTTACGGCATGGTGGCACCGTGCCCTGCTCCTGTCATCTCCTCAAGCCCCTCTCCTCAGGATCCCTGCTTCCCCTTGCCACCACATCTCCCGACTGATTCTTCGGTCTCTGCTTCCACCGGAGAGGAAACTGCAGAGAGGACAAGGTTCATGCAGAGCAGACATTTTCCTATCTCCTTCTCCCGCGCTCAGGGAGGGTGGGAGCACGTGTATGATCCTGCAGAGGGGCAGCTCGGGTCTCGCTGCCCTGTCGGAGGGATTACTGTTTGGCACAGGCTAGGTAGCAGCTGGAGGGGTCCCATGGTCTGGTCAAACGCACAGAGCTGTAGGTGAGTCCTGACTTCACTCCTTAAAGCAACCTACGCTCCAGCAAAACAAAAACAAAGACTAAAACAAAAAGCCCTTTTCAAGGGTATTGCCTCATCCAGTCCTTCCAAGCTCAGGAGCCGTGTTTCTAACAGAGAAGCCAACCACTGGAAACAAAAATAAAATATTCCTTTTCTGTAGCTTTTAGAGATACAGCTGAAAAAAAAAAAAAGAGATTGTCTCTCCTCCCCTTGTCAAAATCATCAGTAGCTAAGTCAGAAAAAAAAATATGTTCAAGTTATGGGTTGCAGCAGCAGCCAACACTAAACATTCAAGTCGATAATTTCACTATGTACATTATAGGTGAGACACGGCCCTGTCCACTGGGACTCCCTTTCTCCAATGACGCTGCCATGAGCCGTTATCTGATCCGCTTCTCCACTGAGTACACTGAGATGTAGTAGTCATTGCTTCCGACTGCCAGATGAGGCTGTGGAAAGAGAGCAAATCAGGGATAAACGTTCAGGTGTTAGGCAGTAATGAGAGGCGCATCGCAGAGAAACGGTAATGGTCGACATTTTCAGCAGTAACGCCCAGATGCCAGAAAGCTCTTAAGTGCATCTGCCAACGCAGCTCTGACGACATTTCTGCTAGTACCTCCATCGTGTCAGCAAGTTACATGCCCCTGTTTCAGCCAGAGGGAAAAATTATGGTGACTATTAGTTGCCAAACCCTAACATAATTTTTCTAAATGACTGCAAATTTGCCAGTTACGAACAGTGCCCTGGACTGAAAATTAGCATTCCCGCTATTGAGGGGGCCAGGAACAATTTTGCCATGGAGCTCTGGGCTAGACAAGGTTTTGTTTGTTTGCATATTTAAAAAGCAAAACATTTCAAGCGATCAGCCACTTCTGTCTCCATCCCCCACACTGCAGGATAGCAAAATCACTGTTCAGCTTTCTGCAAAGTGACCTTTCAAAACCAACGAGGAGATATGCTTTCCTTTAACCCTGTTGCCTTAAAGATGTAAAGTGCGCATAACCTAGGCAGAAAAATATCTTTCCCGTTCCCAGTCCAGCCAACACCAAATCACAGCCTAGCATATTTCATTCCTCTTCTCCTCCAGGTCCTTTATTATCCCCACTGCTCTTTCCCATTACATATAAGATATTTGTGTTCTCATGTGCAGGTTTCCAACACAACTGCCTGTTTACCTGCCTTCTTTAACCTCCTCCTGTTTTTCCTGTCCGTTCACATCGCTTTTCCAGTCTGTCTCCTTCACTTATTCTCATCTCTGAGCGAGCAGAAGGCCATAATGCGAATGGGCACTTGCCTCCTAACCACATAGTGACCAGATCTTCTCTCTGACCGCTACTGCAGAGCCAGCTCAGCTGTGACACATTTAGAAACTTCCTTTTTACTCTGATTCACTCTATATTTTTTCAGCTTACGTCTTTAATTTTGGCAAAAGTCTTATTTTTTTGACATGCATTTTTTCTGCTGCACAGCATTAGGTCTTCCAATAGCATTACATCCGAGACAGTGTAAAGGCAGCCTCAGAGACACAACGGCGAGCCTACTCTCTGTAAGCACATAAAAAATTTGCAGGCTGGAAGTGCGAGACTGCACCTCTCCCCTCAGCTGCAGTCGAATTCACTTCAGAGAATTTCTGTGGCAAGAACTACGGAGCTAAGCCGGGCTGCCGTCCTGGAGTGACGGAAGGAAACAGGGACAGTATATCAAACCTACTCCAAAGTGAAAACGGCTCAGCGGTTGGGGGTTCTGTGCTACTCTTAGGAGCAGGTCTTAAAACAGCAGCACTGGCGGCATCTCCAATGTGGCCCTGTCTGAAACAGCCTGGAGTACAAGCACTGAAGGACCCGGGCAGCACAGTCAGGCTCAAAGGACCCTCAGAAAACGGGGATGGGGCAGCATCCCTTTGTGCGAGAGGAGTCTCTGCACCTTTCCTTCTGCCAACACTGACATTCACCCAGAAATGCAAATTATAAATTCCAGAATAAGAGAATACAGACCCAGTGAGGATGGAAAGCCAGGCAGCTGATGGCTCCAACTCTTTGTCCCATAAAACCATCGTAGTATTTGATATTGTTGATCAGCTCACCATTTCCATTGTAGATTGCAGTGAACTGATTCATTGAGCCACTGAAAATGAATAAAGAGAACGTGGTGTCATTGAGAATGCTCTGGTAACACCGATATTGTTGCTTGCAGCCCCCTTTTCAGTTGCGGAGACCTCAGTTAGCTATTGCAATGAGTTCTTATAAGGGGTGGGGGACTGACTTTAACTCTGACATGGCTGCCTCAGTACAGAGATATTCACAGAACAACTTAACGACAGTTACCTGTTGCACTGCAGGACTGAGACAGAAAACATGGAGAGATGATGTATGCACTCACCGAAAGCGGATTCCCCAAGAACCATGAAGATATATGGCTGTGGAGCAGGCGCTGGGCCCTGCTCAGAGCCCAAATGTCTTTGAACAGGAATCTGACATAAGGAGTGAAAGACCGTACGCTTTTACTCCAAGTCACCAGTGCAGAGGTTTCACTAACGCATGCAAGGGATAAAATACCTCAGCTGCAAACATGGGAATGAAGCTGCACTGTTCACGGTGAGAATAAGCAGAACAAAACAGAACAAAAAAATCCCCCATGGATAGTGATTGCCGAGATGAATTGTCCTCTATCCACTCAAGGGATGCAAGGGGTGAAACTAGAACTTACCACGCAAAGAGGTTGGCTTGTGGGTGAATGTCAAGAGCCGTCAGCCCTTTGACTATCTGAAGGACCTTCATGGACTCTGGCATCCTGGGGTCAAAGAATCGCACGTCTCCGTTTACACTGCCAACACATCAATTTCACAATGTCAGGCTGTCCCCGACCAGATCCTGCAGCCCAGGAGAGCAAGCCGTACGCCTGTCTGCGTGCTGACCACCTCGACCAGAAAATTAGGATAAAGAAGTGCAGCCCTGCCCTCTCTGTCAGGGTGACTGAATTCCTACTGACGTCACTTATACTCAGTACCATCCGCAAAGCGTTAAGTGCTGTATAAACACCTTGCCTCTGCCCTCAGGAGTAATCCATTATTACTTTTATCACTTACAGCCCGACACCGACTACGAGTGCCTTTACTGTTATGTCATACTCAATACACTGAGTTACATGTCAGACCCAAATTCCTTCTCCTTTTCACAGCAGAAAATTGTATTAGAAAACTCCAACCAGATGGGCTCTGCTGGTACCATCTATTACGCCAACTGTCTGGACACAGATGCACAAGTTCGTGCTGTCCAAAGTACTCTGTGGACCTGGCATAACAAACAGTGCTTCATGCTCAGGCTATGTGTCAATCCTATTAATGACTTTACTCATCAGGGAAGAGAAGGTGGAGAAAGCAATAGTGGCAGTGGGAAGATACTGTGCTTAGTAGATCAAGCACCTTTCAAATACAAATGATTTCTTGTTGTTAAGCGATCTCTGAAATACATCGCTAGAATCAAGTCTATTAGAAGTGAAGAGGGGGCATCCTGTTCTATGTCCCTGGAACAGAAGACTGAAGGTTTTGCTGTGGTACATCTGCTCTTCCGTGCTTCTTAGAAGAGACTTGTTGACCAGTGTAGGAAAAGATAAACAGAAAAGTCTCTTATGGAAACTAAATTCAAAGTCAACTCATCTGATCTTATTCTACTAGTAGAGAAGTAAGGCCTTTGGCAAGACAAACCCTTACAGTATTTTTTTCAAGTCACCGGTGGCCGTATACGACTGTGAATCACTCTACAGAATTAAGAACAAAGCATTAAGATGCATATTTCCTTCAGTCTCTTTATCTCTGGAATTTCTAATAGTGATCAGAAGACTGCTATACAGGATTATTTAT